TTGGTTTGGAATTTCTCTATTTAGGCTTTAAAGGTTTTCACCAACTTCCCTGTGCAACTCTAGTTTATCTTCCACCCTCTTTGATAGATCCAAAGTAAAGGTTGGAGTATTTTTGATTTCTTCTTTGAAAAGCATAGCTGTACCATACACCTCTTCTCTATCTTCTCCATCTTCACCACCTTCCCCCAAACTATCGATCAATGAGCTAGTCTCAGAGTCCGAGCGCTCTCATCATTTTTGAAGCATAGTTTACCCAATCTCCATCTGCATCCTTAACATCTTCTTTTCAATCTCTTGTGTATCTTGGGTTTGGTTGGTTGAAAACGATTCAACTTGCATGAGATTCTTGTGAAAAAGCCCTTGGTCTCCATTACAGAATCTCCTTCGATGATCTATTTTGCGTTGAGGAGCCATTTGGGAAGAAAGAAATTCAAGAATCTTTACAAGGAAGGAGAGAACCAAGGAAGCTATTCAAGAGGTGATTTTTATTACAGTTGTAAATTGGCTTAAATCTATGTAGTTATTCAACAATGTGTTGATGGATGATTTGTCAAGAAAGTGGAAAGAAGTTGCTTATTCAGTTCCATGTCAAGAGGTGTCAGTTCCGGTATGGACCCCCCTCCTAGCGTCTTCTTCAAGATGAATTTTGATGGAAGCAGTGTTGGTAACCTAGGGCCTTTGGGTATTAGGGTTGTTTTAAGGAATGAGGAAGGGAAAATAATTGCCTTGTTCTCAAGTCCAATTAGAGCAGGTGACTCCCTTAGAGCTGAGATCTTGGCGCATTGGAAGGCGTACAAAGAGCTAAGGAGTTAAATATAAGGAAGCTGATTATAGAAGGAAACTCCAAATTGGTGGTGGGCTAGTTGAAAGAAGACAAAAATGGTCTGCGGACTTACAACAATGAAAAGAAAAAACTTAAGTAGCTGACAAAGGACATGGAAGTGAAAGTGACTTGGGTTAAGAGATGTTCCAACTCTTTTGCTGATGGCTTAGCTAAACAAGCTGTGAATAAGGGTGCTTTGTTTTGGGCTCAATTGTAAAACTTTTTCTGTTTTGTTTGTTTGCTGTTGGGGGAGATAACAGAGTTTATCTCTTCCCATTTTATCCTTAATTTTCATTAATGAAATCTTTTGTTATTGATAGACAAAAAAGATAAACTTAACTTATCATCCATAGTCGGCCCTCTACACAGACATGGACCTTGACTCATATGGGTCAATAATAACTCGTGTGAGACCTTTTTGATTGCCCCACTGGCCCATAACAAAAGACTTGCTATCCAAATTCCTTTCTCCATTTTCAAAAAAATTTAAATTCATTTCCTTTTTGGTTAAAAACCTTGCTCGACCATTTGGAGCCGATAATTGAGCTTCAACCTTCATCCAACACTTGCCCCTCAATTCTCTCTATTGCCCTTTTCCTTTCTCCTCCATGTGTCCCCCACTCCATCAATGAGCTTTCATCTTCAACCTTCGACCAAGATTCCTGTAGACGTTTCATATTCTGAAACCATCCAGACTTTCAGCCACAAACCATCGACGAACATGTCCAAAGCCTTGGGGATTTTGCCTAGTTTTAGCCCCTTCACTACCATTCTTACCACCTGCAAATCATTAAGGCTACATTTCACAAGAGTTCCTCCTAGCAACTTCACAATTGTCTATGGACTATTCGTTCTAGAGATTTATAGGGAGGCTAAATAACTTTACTGTAAAACTCCCATGGGGTATATCAAGTTGGTTACATGATGCATGTCGGTTTTCAAGCATTACCAAACCCTCTAGGGTTTACACTGTCTCAACATCGGAAATGATCATCCCCTCTTTTCCAAGATCTAAGATTGCTTTTTGATTGCCAAAGGGCATAGCTGAAGTAGGGGACTTGAAGCCAAACTTCTTCAATATTCATTTTGTATCTTCCCCCAATCTTTAACATCTCTTGGTGTTGTAAGAACTACCCATTGTTTCCAACACTCTTTTCCTTCATTGATTATTAATTTTTTGTTAATGTTTGACCCAACCAAAATTGGATGAGGGCTCCTTTTCTCACCCCTCCTTTCTCCATCTCCTCCCCCTTCGACTATGAAGTTGTGGGTAGAGTTTTACTTGCACCCCTTGCTCCAACTGTTACCTTCTCACCATCTCCCCCTTCTTCCTTCTATACTTCATCCTTTGTCAGTTGAAACTCCTAGATTTTATTAGCAAACGCTTGCCAACCTTTTCTCTCCCTTCTGGAATGCAAGCCAATTGCCTCCTATAGTCATCAAAATGTTTTGTTACAGCAACAAACTGCCTTTTCAAGTTCTTCCTCATTTCTATTCCATACCTCTTCCCCATTACATCCAAATAGCTCTTCCACCCCTGTTTTTTGATAGAGTAAACTACTCCTTCCACGAAACCTTTCAACCAACAGACAACTTCTCTCACTAGGAATATCGTAGCGCTCTTTTCTTCCTAAACTTCCCAAGGCTGCAACTCCTCTACTTCTTCCTTCCTCAAACATTTTTTCGTATGTTTTTATAACTTTGATCTTCAGTTCTCTTCTCCATCTTACTGCCTCCTGGAACTCTCTGCTGCCCATCAATGCCCAATTGTTCCAGAAGAGATCTAAGCCATAGTAACTCGGACACTCCATGGGCCATTGCCCTATACTCTGCCTCAAAAGAAGATCTAGCCACCACAGATTGCTTTTTACTCCATGAAACAATGTTCCTTGCCACCATAGCACAATAACCTAAGGTGGATCTCTTTTGATCAATACAACTGGCCCAGTCTGCATCTATATACACTTCCTTCATATGTCCATGCTTGGTGTAGTCCAGCAAAGAAGAAAGAAAGTAGAAAAAGGGAGAAGAAAGGAGAGGAGAAGCGAGGAGAGAAGAAAACAGTTCCTTTCAACTAAGTTGCTGGCGGCACCTAACTTGGTATTTATACATAGGGTGGCAACTTGCAATAATAGAAAGGAAATATACCAAAAATACTCATATGATAAGCATATATACTTCTTCTTCAGAAAAGAATTTTTAATGTCTAGTTGATGAAGCTCCCAGTCAAAGTTAACAGCCAAGGATAACATGATCCGAATGGTGTTCATTTTAGCAACAAGGGCAATGGTTTTTGCATAGTCGACCTCATAACCTATGTGTGCCCTTTTGCAACTAAACTGGCCTTATGCCTCTCAATTGTTCTATTTGCCTTGCGTTTCACTATGAACACCCACTTGCACCCTAGTGACTCTTTGCCTTCAGGAAGATCCACTAACTCCCAAACGTTGTTTTTTGTAGAGAACACATTTCTTCCTTCATTGCATCGGTCCATTTAGGGATATACAAAGCTTTTGCAACATTTTTGGGAATGGAGACACAATCAATGGCAGGGGAACAAAGGAAACACTAAGGTCATTAGTAGAATTATCAATAGCAACACCCTTCCTATGAGCAATGGGCAATAGGGTGTTAGATCATGTTCCCCTTGATCTTTTTTTGAGATGTTTTCATAACACAAGAAATGGGCAATAGGGTGCTTAGTAGTACATGATTTAACACCCTTCCTATGAGCAATGGAAACACTAAGGTCATTAATAGAATTATCAACATATTCTGTTTATTTGAATTTTGAGATTATGGCAGACAAGTAATCAGTAGTTATGTCGGATGTTATTCCATTGATGTCAAAAATAACTGAGCATAAGCTTAATGGCTCTAATTATCTRGATTGGAGTAAAACTGTTCAACTATATTTGCTGAGTATTGCTATGGATAACCATTTGACTGATGACCCTCCTAATGATGTCGGATGTCGGATGTTATTCCAATTTCAACATATTCTTCTTCTTCCTCTGTTTACTCTTATTTTACAAACTCAATTTGACACTTGGCAGCCTAGGACCAGGGCTGACATGCCATAACTTAATTTGAATCTTGATCCAGAAGATAGACTCCATTTTCTCCAATCATCCTTCCTGTTCTCAGGTCTTGGAAAAAACTAGTCTTTGGTAAGAAGTTAACACAAAAATTCAATCTTTTAGTTAGAGAACTGACAGATAAGAGATTTGTGTGAAGCTGGGGCATATAAAAAACAGAATCAAGAGATAGTTTATTAGTTCCACACTATATATTGAATTATGGGATCCATCAGTCATAGTAATTCCATCTCTACCAGAACATGCTCCATAGGAAATAAGCTGGACGGACATTCTATCAGTTGTATGATCAGATTCTCTTGAATAGATAATCGAAGGAGTAAGAACAGAGCCATGGAAAGCACGTGTATTAATTGATTTTGCATAGGCAATGGAAGGAACAATAGGACCAGTAGAGCTAGGTCTCCTACTTCAACCCATGTACTTTTTGGTCTGCCCCTAGCCCTTCTAGCTCCTTCAACTTGCAACACATCTCTTCTTTTTATGGGTGCTGTTGATGGTCTTCTGTACATGTGTCCAAGTCATCTTGGACATATTCTATCACACTCCTAGGTTCCTTCAAATGACTTCATTTCTGATCCTATCATTTGTAGTTTTTCCACTCATCCATCTCAGCATACACATTCTGTCATACTTATTTTTTGAACATGTTTCTTGTACTGCCCAATACTCTGCTCTCTACCACATTGCTGGTCTTACAACCATTTTATAGATTTTTCCTTTTAATCTAAGCAGTGAACCTGGGAAAGGTTATAAATCATAATCATCAACATCAACAACAGCAACAACATCCAATTTAATCCCATATTTGGATGCCATAATTATTAATTTATTATCCAACAAAAATTTTATAGCTTTTTTGAAGTCTTTAAATGGAGTCCATCTTCAAAATATTGTGAAATGTTCAGTAAGTTTGGTTGTTAATAACTTATTCTATGCTATATCACATCTGTTAACAATTGTTCCACTTCTATTTGATTTCTGTAAAAATTTTAAAAGATTGCACTGTTCCTTATAGTTTCTTTATTCTGATATACCTTTTTTATACTTCTTTTAATAATTATTTCTTTGTTTTTCAGTTCTTTGTATTGAGAGATTATGCAAGAGAAACACTTGCTTTGAGATGGAGGTCTTGGATGACAAGCTATTACATGGAAAGATATCTTAAAAATAGGACATTTTACAAAATCCAATCTCAGTCAATAATTGACAATCCAGACCAGCGGATAGTTGATGACTTAAGTTCCTTTACTGGAACAGCACTTTCATTTTCTTTGACACTCTTCAATGCTGCTGTAGACTTGATATCATTTAGTAACATCTTATATGGTATCTACCCACCATTGTTTGCTGTTCTTCTTGTATACTCCCTTGGTGGAACAGCTATAAGTGTATTTCTTGGAAGGGTAAATTTCCTTCTCATTATCACAATCTCCAAGATCTTTTCCCATAATATGTTGTCTTTATCTTCTCAAATTAATATAAAATATTTTCTTTGTGAATTTCAGGGTCTAGTTAACTTAAATTTTCTGCAAGAGAAAAAAGAAGCAGATTTTCGTTATGGACTTGTACGGGTTCGAGAGAATGCTGAATCAATTGCTTTTTATGGTGGAGAGGGAAATGAAATGCAACTTCTGTTGCAGCGCTTCAAAAGTGCTTTTGAGAACTTAACTGTATGAATAACTTTCCTTTTTGTTCTTATTGATCCCATATAATTGCCCAATACGTTCTATGTTGATTGTGAAGGCTTGTTGCTTTTTTTTTTTTTTTAAATATTTTGTAACTGAAATTGAACAAGACTTTTGGGAGGAGGAATTCACCATTCAGATAGGGAGGTGTTATGACCCAGAGATTTGACACGCAGTTCACAGACTTACAACAGCGTTCAGACACTCGAACATCAACAAAAGAAACTAGTATTCATTCAGCAGAAAACATTAACAGTTGGTCGGTTCTTCGAGAGACCGCCGGCTCTCCCAAACACTCACAATATTCTTTACTCAAAGAAAACATGCCCCCCCCATCCCCCAAAGCCCCTTCTTATACCCTTCTGATAGCATAACTGACTCCCTCTATAAATGCCCAGCTAGCCTAGTTATAAATGCCCAAAAACTCTTCTTTTTTCATAACTGACATAGCTATAAATGCTCCAAGACTCTTCCTATTCCCTTCTGACCTCCTCCATAAATGCCCCATGTCTAATCTCCCCCTTATGCTGCCTTTTCTTTCTCCTAGCATACGTAAGGTTAACTGGGGGCCTATCATTACCCGCCGTCGAAAGTCTAACCTTGTCTTCAAGGTTAAAATGAGGAAATTGGTCTCAAATTAAGTCAAAAGGCTCCCAAGAATCTTCAAAATCAGGCAGGTCCTGCCAATGAATAAGCACTTCCAACCAGTAACTCCAGGCATAGTGGATGGATGCACACCGCGCACGGCCGCAGGATAACGGAGCTTTGCAACTCATCTAGTCTCTGAATAAAATTCCTTCTTTCTTTGAAAGCTAGACCTTTTCAATCTCTTGACTGCTACCCTTGTTCCATCAGGAAAAAACCCACTATATGTGCCACCAGTCTTGGCATTTCCAACAAGATGGTTA